CGTTCAGGTCGTCCTCGAACTGCGATCAACGAAGAAACAATTGATGCTGTCCGATCAATAATCGAAGATGATCCTCATTCAACATACGAACAAATTGAACACACCCTGGGCATTGGTTCGTCAGCGGTCAATTCAATTATTCATGAATATTTAAAGTTGCACAAGATTTGTACTCGATAGGTTCCTCATCAACTCACCGATGACCAAAAACAGTTCCGTATTCAGTTTTGTCAAGATTCACTTAAAAGATTTGAAGGAGGTCAATCCCGTCGTGTATTCGACATTATAACTGGTGACGAATCATGGTTCTTCATTATGATCCAACAACAAAAGAGCAATCAAAAGTTTGGGTGTCACAAACTGATCCTCGACCAACCAAAGTTCATCGATACAAAAGTTCAGGCAAGCGAATGGTGGCGATTTTCTTCATGAAATCCGGTTTAATCAAGTCCATACCATTAGAACGTGGTGGAACGGTAACAAAGAGATGGTATGTCAGTAGCTGTCTACCACAAGTCTTCGAAACAGTATCGGAATGGCGACAAAAGACTGATCTTCGTGGTCTCATTTTGCATGATGATAACGCGAGGCCGCATAGAGCCGGAATTGTTAACGAATTTCTGGCCGAAAATCGTGTTGAACTATATCAAAATCCACCGTATTCTCCAGACCTAAGTCCGTGTGACTTTTTGTTTGCAAAACTCAAAAATCAACTACGTGGAATTCGATTCGACGACGACAATGCAATGCTGAATGCGTTAGAACAAGCCATTGGCAACCTCACAAAGGATGATTTCAAAAACTGCGTTGATGACTGGTTTATCCGAATGCACAAGTGCATTGATGCTGATGGACAGTACTTTGAAAAACTACATTAGAACCAGTCTTTAAATATTAGTCAAAAAGGCCTTTGGAAAAAACTTTTGGAGTGCCCCTTGTACTTTGATACTGCTTCGCCAAACATGGTCTTGTATTTACTAAATGGTTTTCCAAGGTGTTCGCCAGGGATTCTACTCACGAATGGTGAGATTAACATATAAGACAAATAAATGAATTAAAACTAAAATTCATTTACCCCATATAAGGATCGACTGTTACATAGACCGCTTCGCATAAAATCTCTAAATATTTTTAATTTTTACATAAATTTCGATTCTCACACAACCATCTGACTATTATATAACCTCCATCTTGTTAATCATCTGGCAAATTTTTTTCAACTAATTTAAAATCATTTTCTGTTGGATTTCCTTTAAAATCACCCAGTTTTGTCCAATGTTTTGCAACAACCATGCTGTCTTTTCAGTAGTTTTAGAAATGACTATATCTAACGATAAACTTATAGATATACTTTTCCTTACATGCGATCAAAGTTGACCTTTATCACTCGCCATTTGTAACGTGGAGAGGTTTCAAACAAATGGTGCTACACACGGGAACAAGAGGAAAAAGAGGAATATGAATACGTAAAAAACAAGGTTTCTCTTTTTCGTTCTCTCTGTTTTCGAACAGAATCGATCAATTAATATCGCATTAAGTCCAGAGTACTTACGTGCCTTTTCTATTCTAACTTCGAGTGCACAAGTTACACATTATGCTCAGCTATTTTTGAGAAAAAGATCGCTTGAATTTGTACAGATATTGGGCCGTCAATACACACCAAAAAAGTAGATTTCTTTTTCCAATATGATTGTTTTATATACTTCGAACATTTGCCGCCGATGCATCGCAACCTTCAAGCATAGTTTTCTATAGGCAGCTTTAACGCTGGTTATTTCTTCGAAATTATTTTAGCTGAAAAAATGCACTGGAAGGTTAAAAACCAGATGTTCGTGATCAGCTCGAAGAGTTCTATCCAACCATGTATAAATATCGTATAAATAAAACAGTGCTCCATATTTGAATTTGGAGCGACGTACCGAATATATTAAATGTTTTGCATTATCGTTGTCAAAAAACTATGGAGTCCAAGAAATGATAGCACAACTGATATCTATCATGTTACGAACAAAAAAGATCAACAGAAGAATGCTGCTCTAATTTATTCGACAGTATCCGATAGAGCACACCGACTACGTTTACAACATTATCGAACTGTCCTCGAACGACTCAAAGGTCAGTACATTTTTTGTTCCTTGCTGACTGCAATTTCAACTTTGTTCTTTTTTACTACTCAGGCAAAAACGATTGAATTTTTTCTTGGGCTGTAACTACTTTGAGAAAAGTGATCATTTATGACGGAATTGATTTTTCAGATCGAAATTATTATCAAAATTACTCCTTGACGTTTTACAGATAAGGTGAAGGAACACATATTAGATGGTTCTTCTTGCGAACCTAGGTGAAATATTAACTTTTTGTGAGGCATGATTGAAAATCAGTATTGAAGTATATAGCAAGAAAAGTGATACCACCTTCATTGTGTTTCACATTTTAATCTCGCAGGGATTAAACTGAAAACGTTTTCCTAAGAAGACGCTGATTGAACTGACAAAGGAAGGTCCCCAAATATCAGGCGTCGGTTGAGTCGATATTTTGCCCATAAAAAGATCTCGTAGTCATTAGAATGCTACAAAAACTTCAATCAAAACGAATAGCATTTTCTCTAGATATTGAATGTGCAAACATGATCATATGTCATGAGAGAAGGTGAGAAAAATCGAATTTTTGTTACTATTCAATATCTCTGCCAAAACACATCCATTTTCTCTAAAATTTTCCGACATTCCAGTGGCGATGAAATATGTTTATGCGCAAAATTTCAGGTCAAAATCTGCCATTCGATCTTTTCATGAATGCTTTGACGAGCGGCAAAAATTTAGTCAAACGGCCCTAACTCCGGAACGACAGCATGGAAGAACGAATCCTTTTCAGCTTCTTCTAGCCTGCCCGGGACTTACGGGTAAAATATCAACTTGTTAGCTGCGTAACATGTAGGGACGTTCATCAACGTTCAATTGAGAAATCCTTATCGCAAAATCGCCTTTTTATACACTGAACAGAATCGATCCAGATTTTTTTTCTGAATAGCTTTTACAACGAATGTATGGGCAGCAAAGTAACTCTTTACTCAAATCACTTTTCGGATTCTGGCACTGACTACGACGTCACCTTAAACGAACTATAGTCCGCTCCAAAATCCGAAAAGTGATTTGAATAAAGAGATAGTTTGCTGCCCATACATTCATTCAATAAGCTATTCAGAAAATAATCTGAACCGGTTCTATTCAGCGTATAAAAAGTCGATTTTGGGCAATGTGACAGCGAACTGGATATTCTACGTCAGGATTCGAATCCAAAGAAATCATTTCAATTCATTGCATTCGTTTTTTCTATTTGAAATATTGGGAATCGCTCGTCAATTTTGTGACATCACACGTTTTGCTCTAAGTGTTCTGAGCGCATTTTCGAAAGATGACGAGTAAAAATAGAGAAAATCCTAAAAAAAAGAGAATTTTGATGGCAATGGAACCGCCGGAAATGACTAATCGTTTTTTTAATTCATACTTTGGACGCATATACACTAAAAAAAAAGCGTCGTTTATTTAGTAAAATGCAATGACACGCTACCGCTTCAAAAGTTTAGTAAAAAACCATTTTAGGGTTTAGTAGCCTACTAAATCTGAAAGCAGTAGCGTGTCATTGCATTTTTCTAAACCACTAAAAAAGAGGTTTAGTAGCCTACTATTTACTTATGTTTTTCGCAATGTTAAAAGAAAAGATACGGAAAGAGGCAACCGATAAAAATATCTCAACAGATTGGGTACAGCTACAAAGGACGTCGCACCCCTTTTTCGTTTACAGAAAACGGGGAGAAAAATCGCTAGCCTAGTATTGTTGCTGTCCTTAGCTTTTATTGATAGCAGACTGGCGTCAGAATAAGACTTTCGAGATCTCAAACTTATTTTCCTTGTTATCGCTCGAAAAATAAATTCAAAGTATACCTGACATGATGACGATTAAAATAAACTTGTTAAATTTTCAAATAAAACCGCCAAAATCGTATCACAATTATAGACAGAAAATGGAACTTTTGAATAGTAAAAGTCCAGCATTATTCTGTTGAAAATCGAGGAATGTATTCTATTTCTAAATCTGAAATTCTTGTTGCATTTTATTTCGTTTATGCAAAAACATTTCGTTACACACAACGTTATGTTAAACAGCAAAAGAGAGAAGAATAAAAGAAGCATAACGCCTGTAGTATGGAAGCTTGCGTTAGACAAAGAAGACAATGTACAAAATTAAAACACAAAGAATGTTAAAAATATGTGTCATTAGGACAAAAAAATGTTCTAGAAACGAAATCACCTAGTCTTGTCTTTCAAAGATCTGCAGATGTTCAAAAGATATTATAAAGACAACACCAGCAAAAACAACACGAAGAAATAGAAAGATTTCTTACAAAAATAAGCATAAGGCAAAAACAAAACAGAAACAACTGCTCACGTGTTTCTTCATGAGCAGAAATATCAACTCGGATCACCGGTTTCGTCTGTACAAAAAAAAGGTCATCGTATCGTGTACCAAAAAAATCTTCCACAACGGTTATCTGAAAAAAACCTCTGTCTGACGAGGGAAGGACCCCGACTAAGTCACGCCGTTTGGGTTGATATTTTGTCCACATATAGGGGATATCATTCAAAGAAAAAGCCTAAGAGGATTTATGCTGATGCGGCTTCTTTCAATAGTTATGAATTTTTTAAGATTGGCTACTGGAGATCCTAATTCATCATGGTTTACTTTCTAAAACTCGTCCACATGTATGGTAACAAGCCAAAATCTTTTTAAACACTTATTCGTATAGAGAAAAGTATTCTCTTCAAAATGAGATGTTGCGAAGCTCTGTTATTACAAAAAAAGCAATCGAGCGTACTGGTTGTGATCAAGAATACTATTTCGCGAATATTAACTCTAATCAGAAGCACACAAAAAAAAATTAAACGCGAGAAAAAATAAACTTTCTGTAGTTAAATATACCTTGGAAATTTTCAATAACTGTTTCATTTTTAATAAATGACTTTAGCCATTTGAGTACATCAAAATGGGACCAAAGATACGAATCACTCATTTTATTATCCGGAAGCAAAACCTATAATAAAACCTTGTCAGGGTGGTACTTGCGGTACCAAAAGGTGAAACTCCCTATATTGAGCAAAATGAAGGAATAGAGCTCAATAAAAAAGGTTGTAACCATCAAAATAAGACGTTGTGACCGACAGACTAAGAGGTTGTGACCGAAAATTTAAGAGGCTGTGACCGCTCCCTTTTTAAGAGGTTGTGGCCGTCCTCGAGAGCTTTTGGTCGATATCACTCAATATCAGACAAGTGAGAAAGAGGTTGTGAAAATCAGCGAGAAATTTGCTTAGAAACGACTTGATACTATTGTGTTTTATTTCGGGAAACTATAAATGAAAATTATTCATTTGTATCTGACCGACCGAGTAAGAGGTTGTGACCGCCTAAAAAGCATTCCCCTGATATCACTCGATATCAGACAGGTACGTAAGAGGTTATGACCGACGTAAGTGATACTGACCGCCAGCTTCAGAGGTTGTGACCACCAATTTAATAGATTGTGACCGCAATTTTAAGAGGTTGTGACCCAAAATGATATCAGATTTCAAGTAGGTTCAAAAAACCCGTGATAACAGCGGTTTTTGAGTATAAAACTGAAACTCTGTCTTCTTCGAAGACTTTGAGGGAGTTTC